TTGCAAGATTTAAGCAAGTTTCAACAAGCCACTATGGAAAAAGCTGAAGTAGACAATAGAAGAAGAAATGATGTAAGGTGCTGAGATGACTCAAGAATGTATTTGAAGATGGAGTAGAGTAGAAAAATACTATACTTGTAAATGAGTGAAAATGCTAATATCTTGAACAAAAGGTAATTATTCTATTGCAGATAAATACATAGAAAATATATATTTTTCCTAAAAATAGCATTATTTTTTTTCAGTTATACTGGTGTACTTTAATTCCTCTTACGTCCTGTGCTCTTCCTGTTACAACAGTTTCTCACTTTACTGGTCTCCATTCTCTACTGTAATGCATCAATTTATTGATTATAACTAAAGAAAAACAGCAACATTTAATAAACTACTCACTTCAAGATATTTATTCTTTATTTTAGTATTATTATTTTATTGGAAAAAAATCATCAAAGGTGGCCAGAATCTACAAATTACACACACCTCTTAACTCCACAATAAGCCACAAATTCCTGCCAGCACACTTCCCTTACTACTTTCTTCTGTATAACCATTCCTGTCTACATCTTGGATAGCCACTGGCTAGGAATGCCTACTTTTTATAGTCAGAAAGACATTGTTTTCTTTAAAACGAACCTCTGAACCTTTCAGCAAAAAAATTAATTCCTTCATCCTTTATGCACAATTAGAGCATTCATCACATCATATCCTAATTTTATGTGAGTCTCCTAACTCAAATATACCTATGCCAACTTTTTTTTTTCATAATCTCTTCTGGATTCTTGGAGCCTGAAACTGGCACAGTCATTGACTAATTCATGTTTGTGGATTCTTTGGTGAATAAATGGGTGACATCTCTTTTCAAATATATAAGCCATAACTATTGGAGATAATTAGCTTTCAGGTTTTCATCCCCTGAATAATTTTCTTTCCCACCAACAGAAAATGTGGCAGCCATAGCTACATGTCCTGAGCATAGTTCAAAACCAGCGGTTTGTGTACAATATCCTTGTCTGTGTGCTTTTCTGCTCCCCTCTTCCAAGAATCTTATTAATCTTGTCCAAGGGCCCTTGTGGAGTGTTTCCATGGAAAAAAGGGAGAATTTTCTGCTTTTAAAATCCCTTACCAGATTTCTTCCTGCCACCAATAATCGAGTAGATTACTATCAGGAATTTCTATCTTGCATAATAAAGTTTTAAATATCAAGAGAATGGATAATATGAAACCTGCAATCCTCTCAGCCAGGTCTTCTAGCTGCAGAAACCCAACATTAAGGGTATCCATCAGAACAGCACTTGAGTGATTGAGCTCTACAAAATTAACTTGATCTGAGTTCTCATCTTCCTGCATTTCAAACGCACAGCGACAATTAAGTTTGCCAGAGAGATATATCATGTAAAGGACGCCTTGCATCAAAGGGAAGAAGAAAACCAAGTGGGGTAGAAACCCCGCATTTACAAAAATGAAAGCTAGTGTGCAATTCCCCTCTGCCTCCAAAAGAAATGCAGCAGCTAAGCAGTTTGCTGTAATCCCCTGGAATCTAATTTCCTCAGGAATGAGACAACTGCAGGCTTCAGTTGGTGTTCACAAGCCCAGCCTGTGTCCCCTCCCTCTTGTCATGTAAAACCTTTCCCAACTGCTCACTAGGACTCTTCTTTTAGTGCTAAAGAATAAATTGTTCACAGTCAGTGGGAAAAGAGATTGGTTTTGCTTTTAGGAAAGTGGGGAGTGCGGAGTTGTTCCTCAAAAAGACTTGAGTATTCTATAAAGGAAAGCTACAGGGGGCTTCTGTCCAGTTAACAAACAAACAAACAACAACAACAACAAAAAAACTATTCAGGAATCTTCGCAGTTTGAAGCGTTAGCCCACAGAAGTGACTCCGCAGCCTTAGAATAAAAAGCTCAGCGGCTAATTGCCTGCTGCCGCAGAGCCAGAATCGTCTCAGTGTTCAACTTCCTATTTACAGCCTTTTATTTGTATTTTAATCCATGGGACTCCACATCCAGACCATTCATCTTTGTCCCCTATCCTTTTGCCCCATCTCGGGGAGAAAAGGACACCCCGTCCCTGGAAGAACTCCCTTAGGTTGCAGATAGAGACCAGCAGTGTGCATGTGTGTATGGGGCGGTGTGTGTGTGTGGGGGGGGGGGGTTGAGGGTGCAGTTAAAGATGCTGTGATCTTTATATCTTTCCTAATCACCCAGGGTGTGGTTGCGTGGGAGGGAGACAGGACCTGCAGAAATTCCAACCCTGGCACCTAACCACTACACGGTTAAATTCAGTGTGAATAAAAAAAAAGGTAAGAGATGGAAACTGGGAAGAACAGAGACCCACTGGAAGGAGAAAGGGGAACACACACACACACACACACACACACACACACACACACACACACACACGGTCCTGAAGCTGTGTGCCCACTTAATGGGCAGGTGGAACCTTGACAGGAGACAGGACTTAGAGGATAAGGGTGCCACTTGGGGGGGGGGGGGGGGGGGGGGGGGGGGGGGGGGGGGGGGGTCGGCTTCCTGTGAAAGGAGGCTAGGGATGCAGGGAGGCTGCGGACTTGGAGCTTGCCCTACAGATTGGCCAGCTGGGCTACAGACACGCACTGGCCCCTCCTGGTGGCCAGCTGAGCCTCACTGCAGCTGACGTCATTGCCAGAGAAGGAGGGGCGGCGGGGATCAGGAGGACCCCTGCATGAACTGCATTCCAATGACTCTTTGGTGGAAGAGCTCGATAGCCGCCGCTTGGCAAACTCAGCGCCCTGAAGGCGGTGCTGGGACTCCAGCTGGGTGCGGCAGTTCTTAATTTAGCAGGTGGAGAAAGGTAGATTTAGACCTTGTGTGGTCCATCTTCTGGTTCTTTCTCAAAACCTCCTGCACACTGTCGGCTCTGCCTCCAATAAACCAAAGACAAGAAAGGTGAAACATAGACACTTACTATCAGTTACTTCCACTGGTTTTAAAAAGCTTCATCCCCCAGCGAAAACACCCAAGCAAAGACAGCCTTGAGGCTAGCGCCCTGACCTTGAGAATTTGTTTCAAACAAGATTAAAAAGTGCTCTTCTTCCATAGTTACATAAGGACCAACAAGCGCACCCTCCCCTCACTCCTTTTTGTTCAGTTCTGAGTCACACTTGCTTTATTTTTCTTTATTTTTCCGTTCTTTCTTCCTTAGTTTCTTTTTTAGTCCTTCCTTCCTTCCTTCCTTCCTTCCTTCCTTCCTTCCTTCCTTCCTTCCTTCCTTTTTTTCTTTCCTTCTTTCTTTTTAATGGAGGATAAGGAAGACAGTTGCATTAAGTCACCCAGATGCCTTCACCGTTTTCCTCGTGGTGATAGGTGTTTGGAATTAATCCACTTACTCCTCAGGTTGTTTCCTGGATGCCCTGCTATGATCATTTTCAAGACTTTTCTGCCACCATCACTCTCCCATCTTTTAGTCCTCTTGCCCATGGCTTAGTTTCTGAACCACTTCCCTCCCCCCCCCCCAGTAGGTGCATTGTACAGAAACAGATCTTAGGCTGGTATAAATCTGCTTTTGCTTATAGTGAGGGAAGAACAGGGTTACGTTTATATTGTTTGGTGCTGTTGCCCTTTAATTTCATTTGTTGTTGTTGTTGTTATTGTTTGTTTGTTTCTTTTGACCTTCTTCTCTTTCTCATTTACTTTTTTGGTGGGTGCTGCACTGGTGCAAGTTTGAACTCCCAGACCCCTAGACAACATTTTCGAAGGGCACCCCCTCACAGGCTAGTGCCGGCTTTCTGGCATGCTCTCACATTCTCAAGGCACGCACCCCAGTGCCCCTCACCCCAACCTGCAAAGGCAGCTAACCCAATGGAGCCTGGAATAAATCTCAGACAGCAAAGGGGCCGTCTTCACTCAAGCCTTGGGAGAGACGCTGAAGCGGATCCTACTGTGCAATCTGGGACATTAACACCCCAGGGACAAGTTGCTTTGTGACTGTGCTCACGGGGAAGTAGTGTCTTTAACCAGAGGTAGACTGTGGCTGCGCTCTTCCAAAGTCTGTAAAGCAACGTGGTCTCTTTTTAAAGTCACCTTTTCCAATGACGCTCTTAGCAAGACGCATTTTCGGAAAAGGGGACTGTTTTGTACATGCTCTAGGAAGATCATTCCTTTGTGAAGGAAACTGCTTTTTTAGGTCTCAAAAATGTCATGTATATGACATAGGTGGGCTTTTTTTTTTGGCTTAGGAATTCCAAGTCATTTCTTTAGAGAAAAGGAACACTTTTATGCTAGACTTGACTTAGGAAGTCATTTTATTTCCCCCAATGATAAAAGAAAAAAGAACACCGGTTTTCAGGTGCTGGTTTATAAGAAGTTGCGCTTATAAAAATGAGACAAAAATTTCTACACCTACCATTTCCATATTCACTAGGTCCCAGGGAAAGCAGTAAAAGGTGCATACCATGGGGACCAACCCCGAAGACCCTGGGTGCCCTGCTGCGTGCACTGTTTTCACAAGCTCTGAGGCAATGATCGCCACCCCTCCCCCAGAGGTTTGTGGTATCAAACCTGGACTGGAATTGAAGCATCCAGAGAGGGAACCGCAGCTGGTGCATTGCCCCTCATCTGGCATAGCTCCTAGAGACTCCCCCAACAGTCTGGGACTTCAACTCTGCATCCGACACTTTCCCAACCAGAGTTTCATTCAGCTTCGCTGAAGCTGGCAGAATCAGTTAAAGTGAAAGACCTTTTTGCACAGGCGATGTCAGGGAAATTTATGAGCAGGCACTTTTCTGACAAAAGTGAGAGTTTTAAGAAAGAAACCAAACCGCTTGGAGGCAGTGCCAAAAGATTTTCTTTGCGAGCTCACCTCTGGGGTTTGTTCTTACCGCTAGAGAACAGAACCCAGAGCAGAGGGCACCAGTAGGATCTCTAAAACCATGCTGTGGTTAACTGTTCAGATCCTATGTTCTAAGTGCAGGACATGCCATGCGTCCCCAGCCTCAGAGGATCTGGCTCCCGGACAAGATACTTACCTACTATTAAGACTCCTCTTGAGTAGAATGAAGAGGGGGACGAAAAAAGGAGGAAAAAAGGCTTCAGACAGCTCCACGGAGACTGCGATTGCTGTAGCGGGATCTACCGCCACAGCTTGCAGTCCGCGGAGCAGCTATTTGTTGTGGAGACTGTTTGTGAGGCTGATCGAGCTGCCCCAGCTAGCTGCGCTGCCTGTGTCTCCTGAGGAGCCTCTGCCGCTGAGACTCCGTGCACTCAGGTAGCCTGGCTTTGGCTTTGCTTGCTTGGCGGCTGCTACCTTTGGCTCACAGCAACTCCCGCCCTGACAGTCGACTGCAAGGAGCCGCTGCCAAGACAGCCCTTTTCAATGGCAAGAGGGAGGGACTAAAGAGGAGCGGGGAAGGGGGACCTAAGGGAGGTGAGCGAGTGGAGGCAGGGGAAGAGGAGTGAGCCAGTGCCCTAACAGCCTGCTGGGAAGGGATGGTGCAGCACGAAGGCTGGGTACCCCCCTGTAGTCCCCACTCCCAGCACCCTACCACCTACTCCAGCTCAGGAGGCGGCCTCTCCCAGCGGACTAAGAATCCCAGGAGTGGTGCAAAGGCTAGAGTGAGGTGAGGTAAGCTTGGGAAGTTACCGCTTGTAGCCCAGAGGAGGCAGAGAGCGCCTTGCCTGCAAGCTCCTTCACAGGACTGAAAGCTTGGGGAATACACAGAGCAAAATAAACTGGGCAAGCATCCTTTCCCGCTGGTGGTCCCCCTCTCTTTGTACTTTAGTTCATCTCTTTAAGTTTCATTCCTTTACATTATCTTACAGAAGTTGGATTTTTTTTTTTCTTTTTCGTGGTCTGTTCGCTTTTCAAAAGATTCCTATGGCTTCCCTGATTTCAGCTAGAGAACCAGCACCAAGCAACATCATTTTCTCGCACAAAGGATACTTAGGGCACACTAGAGGAGGTAGGGGCAAGAGCCTAGAGAACCAGAAGTTTGAGACGAGTGCCTGATTCTGAATATGTGATATTCAATCTATTCAACCAATAAGCTCTCTGATACCTTGGCTGCCTGTCCACACTCATCCTCCCCCATGGGGTGGGGTGGAGTGATAGTGGAGTGTCTGAGGACAAAACCTAACATTTACCTATCCCAGGGAGCAACTGAGAGTAGCATTAAACAGGTTGGTGTCTGTGACCCTTTCAGTTGAAGGGACTATGGGAGGAGGTGCTTGTCACCATATGAACGATGCAGTTTGGAAACAGGAAAGTTAACTAGACAAGGAAGAGCCCAGACTGGAGCTGCAAATCTAATACATGCCAATAAGCTTCGCAGCCTAGTTGGTGAAACCCAGCTGACATGGGGTGTCAAATCTCCCAAGAGCACTAAAGCAAGAAAAGACACTGTGTGTGGTTTGTGGCTCAGATATATTGTGAGTATCAAGAGACAGAGGCTAATTCCCTACCTATAGAATGGGCTCAAAAACAAATAACAACACCATAACCCCCTTCATTCTCATTTCAAAGACAAAGTCCTTGTATTTACACAGAGACCCAAGAATGAGATAGGTGAATATTCTAAATTATTCTACACAAAAAGTGAGCATTTTAGAAAATAATCCACTTTCTTTGCTTAATGTGTAGAAAAACGTAAATTTATGTTTCTTCAGTTTGGTTTTGAAAGGGAAAGCTGAGCTTTGTTTTTCTTTTTTGGTGTTTTTTTTTTTTTTCTGAGAAAAAGTAAATTGCTTACAGGCACTAAAAGCTAAGTATTCAGTTTTTTAATTTTGTATACAAAAAGGAAAATAGAATGAGAGATTGCCTCCTCAAGGGAAAAAGAATAATAAAAAGGAAATATTCTGCTGGTTATTATTAGTGGATTTTCTCCAATGGCTTTTTTCCACCATAGAGTTGTTTTGAGGACAAATCTTTATGAATCCTTACTCCACTATTTCCTATTCTATTTTCCTAACCGTTTTCAAAATTCCAGTTGCATATTTTTTAACTTAAACTCTGTTTCGAAACTTTCTCAAATTATTTTTGCTGTTGTATTTTTTTTTCTTATACCTGAAGCTAGTGCTGAGAGAAAACCTTAGCATGACAGCTCTGTGCTGCCTGCATGAAATAAAATACAAGGAAGTATTTGCTTGTACAGGTCCAATGAGACACTTCAGCATTACATTTTATTCCTGTTGTATCTCTGACTTCATTATTCATAATATCTAGCAATGTTCTGTTCTCTTTGTTGGAGGATCAAGGAAATGTGTAAGAGATGAAATGAGATGCTGCAAAATAGTTACTGCTCTGATTCTTGGACATTGCACTTTTTGTGGACACTACTATAGGAGGTGGCATTAACTCAATGAAAATGAAATCACCAATTGATTTAGAACAGAATGGCAAAGCTATGTCTCTCTTTCGAAGCATACATTATTCTCCATAACACCTGTAGTGGTTATCAATCAATTGATTTCCTAAGATTTACATCTCAGTTGGTGTAAAGGGAGAGAACTAGTCATTAACTGTTCTTAAAGCTATCACCACAACAGAATTATGTTAGTATTATTAAGTCTGTTTTATAATTTCTGAACTGATGCTCATAAATCACAGATAATTCATACAAAGACATTGAATTTAACAGTATAGTCTCTGGTGTTCTTTTAAGCCAAAAGAATGTTTGATACATAATATGGATTGTTCTTTACTATAGAGTGCAATATTCCATTTTATGTGTATAGTCCAAAAGAAAATATCTCTGTGGAGTAGAAGCATTACTTATAGACCAAGGAGACTCTAAAAGTTGAACCAAGTAACCCAGAAAATCATCTGGGAAAAAAAAATGAAGTTTGCTCAAAAGACTGACAGAAATACACATCTGAAAATAATGAAAGAAAATTCCCATTTTCTCTGTCTATATTCTGACTGATGGGAGCAACACAGAGCAATGGAATAATCAGAAGCCAGGACACCAGGACAAAAGAAAAAAAAAAAAAACTGAATTCTAACTCTGAAAGAACTAATAAGGACCTTGTTATGCCTGCAGAGAGAAGGACCCTCTTTGACTAAATGAATTTATGGGGTTTCTGCAGTATTAAATTGTCCTATAAATTCTCAAAAACCACCCAACAAAGTAGATAATATTAGCTTCTCAAGTAAGAAAATAAGAATAGATTTTTTTAAAAGTCTATAAAATATAGGAGTGGGAAAGCCAACCCTGTACTGTTTACAATATTTTATTTTTTGCTCTCCATTCACATATGATTTTCAGATTGTGTAGTTATAGGTTTTCAAAATGTAAATTATATAAGAAATCTTATAATAAACAAAGACTTCAAAGGAGGGCACTATGCCAATGTATTTGTTAAAGAAAATGATATGAAGCAACTGTGATATTTAATGCATTTTTCAGTGTTCCAATTAGGAGCCTGAACACTGAATCTGCTATGTATATAAAAGTATAATTATGATAATATATTATCACTGCCAATTTCTTTTTCATATAGGATTAACCAAGACAATTAATTTCTTTTATGCCAGTTTCCCTTACATTAAAATACTACTTGTCAAACAATCTCCTTGTGATTTGTCCTCCCAAGTTATCATTGTGCAAAAGAAAACACACTAGTCATGTAGATTAATCAGAACAAGCACATTTTGTCTCTTACATGATAGCTGCTTTAGACAAAATTTCAGCCATTTGGTGTTGTACTAAACAACTTGTACTGTACATTGTGCACAAATCTTGTACTTTATAGATGATAATAGCTCTTTGGAAAGTAGATAAAGCAGGATAAAATGTATTCTCCATATTTCTAAGTTTAATATTAAGTCAGTAACATTTCCAATTATTAACAGACAATGATGCTCGATGGGTTAAGAAAAGGACAGTAGTTTTTGACTAAGTAGGGCGTCTCAACTCTGTCACTTTTTTTCATGTTTCAATAGGGTAGTTTACTAAGTAAACAGAAGTGCCAGAAGACAATCGAAGCCTGGGATTCATTGTGAGCCTTACGTGACAGGTAAAGAAATTTTAAATATAATTCCTCAAATGACTACTATTTTATCATAATGTCTGCACTGGGTCAAGTTAAAAACTTTTTTTTTTCATTTCTCTTTCTTTTTTCACATTTATCTATTTATTTATTTATTTATCTATTTATTTATTTATTTATTTATTTATTTATTTATTTATTTGTTACAATTTATTCACTATCCTGCTGTAGCCCCCTCCCTCTTCTCCTATTAAGGAGTACCCTAGGGGAGAGGCTGAAACCTCAGTCAGAAGGGCAAACAGGATAGACATTGGAAATAGGAGAAGAAAAGGAACAGGACAGGAGCCTTCCACAGAGGACCTCTGAAAGATCTGTCCACCAAGGTATCCAAGGAGATACTAAGACTCAGAGCCAAACTTTGGGGAGAGTGCAGGAAACCTTATGGAAGAAGAGGGAGATAAAAAGACCTGGAGGGGACAGGAACTCCACAAGGAGACCAACAAAGCCAAAAATCCTTGGCCAAGGGAGTTTTACAGACTGATACTCCAACCAAGGAGCATGCACTGAGAAGACCTAGAACCCCTGTTCAGAGGAAGCCCATAGGCTTCTCAGTTTCCAAGTGTGTTCCCTATGAATGGGAACATGGGTTGTTTCTGATATGAACTCTGCTGAAGGCTCTTTGATCACCTCCCCATGGGGAGTGCAGCCTTGCCAGGCAACAGTGGAAGATAATTTTAGTTAGCCTTGCTGAGACTTGATAGTCTAAAGTCAGATAGAAGGGGAGGAGGTCCTTCCCCCATCAGGGGACTAGGAAAAGGGCATAGGGGGAAAAAAGAGAGGATGGGTGGGACTAGGAGGAGACTATGAAGATGGGAGCTACAGCAGGGATACAGAACCACTTTCTAATCGTGTGATTGCAGACAAATTAACCTTGAGAACACTATTGTCCAGTGAGATAACCACTTTCCACATGCGATTGTTGAGCCCATGAAATGTAATTCTCAATTTGAGATATACTGGGAGGGCCATTCTGATGGGTGTAATTTGGAATCTCAGATCTTTGTTGGTCTCCTTGTGGGACTCAAAACAACTCTGAGATTCCATATTACACCCATCCGAATGGCTAAAAGCAATTGATGTTTTTAATTAAAATTTTATTATTTTTATATTAATTACAGTTTATTTAATTTTTATCCCAGCTGTAGCCCCTTCCATCATTCCCTCCCAATTCCACGCTCCCTCCTTCATCTCCTTCCTGTCAGAGCAGCTGATGGTTTTAACTGGAGATTTTTTTTTCTTTTATGTATTTAGCTGAAAATAATTATAAGCATAGCTTAACTGGAGACACTAGAGGGTGCTGTTAGTGAAAGTTTAGAAAAAAAAAATAGCTTTCTAACACACATCCTCCTAGCCAGCATTATGGATTATTAGAATTTGAGAGGGGCAGGGAGGAGATGAGGGATGGAGGGTAGGATTGGGAGATAATGAGGGAGGAGGCTACAGCTGTGATACAAGGTAAATAAACTGTAATTAATATAAAAAAGTAAAAATTGAAAAAATTAAAAAAACGATAGATAGATAGATAGATAGATAGATAGATAGATAGATAGATAGATAGATAGATTTGAAATGAGACTAACAGTTCTCCATTCCCTCCTGGGCATCTTTTTCACTTTCTTCCTTTTTATTTTCCATCACTTCTTTTTCTCTTAGGACTACCACATTACCAAAAACAATATTAGATGTTTGCAGTAGTGCTTGGGTTATTAAACTGGAAATATTTGAGTTGGTTCCCTATTCCTAAAACCTAAAAGCTGAAAGGATAGGTTCAAGGAAAGTCCAATAAATGTTCCTTCAAGTAAGATTTTGTAACAATCCCTGACTACTTAAACAACCTCCCTAATGAAATTGTGGTAAAATAACTGTAAGTGATCAGGGAATATGAGATTCTTTCCCTTTCAGTCTTGAACAGCTTGACACTTGGAGTGGACAAAAGCTGCACCCTAGCTTTTTCTCATAAGCATGGGGAATGAAAGCCTGTGTGTATAGATGAACTTTGCTGAAGCACAGGACTCTAATTATTGTCAGGGAATGAGTAATCATGAGTCCTAGTGGTTACTGTTTTCCACTAAAGAATTTATTTCTTGTGTGGTACTGTCACTTCTATACACTGTATAATATATCAGATTCTGTGTGGTAATTAGGTATATTATGCTGTCAGTACATGAGCACAGGAAAATACTGTCTCTTTAAAGAGTTGAAAATTCAGAATGCTGTTAACAGGTTTTGTCTTTATTTCTTCAGGAAGAAATTTGGCTTATGTTATCCATATGGTGTGCCATAAAGTTTTAAAAAATTGTAGGAAGCTTTGGCTGTGGAGTAAAACTTAATTCTAATTTCCTCATTTGTTTAATATTGGGGATAATTTTTTCATCTTTCCATTATTCCGACATAGACATAGCTATCTATCTCTTTAGTGCTTAAGAAAGACACACACACACACACACACACACACACACACACACACACACACGAAAACAACTACACATTACCAAGCCAGTATCCTGAGTCTGATTTTAAAAAGAAAGTCACATTATATTCAAGATTTCCGGACTGATATCAGGCTATTCTGAGCCTTCTTTACTTCTTAAGCATCTTTATTTCTATGATCTAACTATGAGTTAAGTAGATTTAACTTTTGTGTGGCTTGTGAAATCCATCCTATTTTCTAATGTATGATAAGTATTATAGTGTGTGTACTGAAAGAATAAAAAGTAAAAATACTTTTTAAAATAATTATGGCTATGATTTACTGAAAAAAAAAAGGTGCTTAATGGTTTGATAGTCTGCAGGGCAGAGGCTTTCAGAGGCCCTCTGTGGTAGGTTCCTAGTTTGTTTCCTGTTTTCTTCTGGCTTTCAGAGGCCCTCTGTAGGAGGTTCCTAGGTTGTTTCTTGTTTTCTTCTTCTTCTGATGTCCATCCTCTTTGTCTTTCAGGATGGGGATTGAACATTTTAGTTAGGATGGCCAACTGTCGGGCAGAGTGAATGAAATTTTATGCAAGAAGTGGGAAATAGTAAGAGCTGGAGAGCACAGGGATTCCACAAGGAGAGCAACAGAACAAGAAAATTTGAACACAGGGAACTTCCCAGAGACTCATACTCCAACCAAAGACTATTCATGGAGATAACCTAGAACCCCTTCACAGATGTAGCCCATGGCAGTTCAGTGTCCAAGTGGGTTACCTAGTAATGGGAAGAGGGACTGCCTCTGACATAATCTGATTGGCCTGCTCTTTGATCACCTCCCCCTGAGGGGGGAGCAGCCTTACCAGGCCACAGAAGAGGACAATGCAGCCAGTTTTGATGAGAACTGATAGACTAAGATCAGAAAGGAGAGGAGAACCTCCCCTATCAGTGGACTTGGGGAGGGGCATGCATGCAGAAAGGGGAGGGAGGGTGGGATCTGCAGGGGAGGAGGGAGGGCTTATGGGGGGAGACAAAATGAATAAAGTGTAATTAATAAAAAATTAAAAAAGGTACTTAATGGATGGCTATTTTTTGCTATTTTATTGATTGCACATTTTAGCTATCAGATATCACATGTTAGATGAGTAGACAATAGATATTCAACATATTTTTCATTTCAAATTAAACAGTGTCTAGTCTTCATTTATTAAAACTTATCTAAATGTAAGTTTCTGTATTTGTTTGAAAAAATATTAAACCTAAACTTGTTCTAAACTGTCAAAATGTAGCAAGTCTTTTTCTTTTTATAATATTTTTTTTATTTTTAAATAATTTTATACATTCACTTGTATCCCAGCTGCAGCCCTCTCCTTCTTTCCCTCCCAGTCCTTCCCTCCCTCCCTCATCTCCTCCCTGCCCCCTTCGGAGTACACTGAAAGAGGGTGTCCTCCTCTCCTTCCATCTGGCCCTATCTTGTCAGGTATCTTCAGGATGGTTGCAATGTCCTTATCTGTGGCCTAGCAAGGCTGCTTAATCTATTTCTTCTTACATAAGGTGAAAAAGGATGATTCACTTAACTTTCATATTGAAAGAAAGATGTGTTGAGTTTTAAAAACAATAGTTCTTTCTTGGGTGAAATTAAAACACTATGAAACCACAAGTACAATTGAACACTCTGTTAACTCTCTTGTAGTTAATTATCTTTTTTGACAAGCTAGATACTAAATGTAATGGATTTGGAGCAGAAAAGAGTACTCTACTTGGGGACAAAAGTGTAACAAAACTATGGAAATAAAATACTGTATATATTCTCTCTACTTTTAATATTAATATTAATTTCCTTACATGTTTGCTAATCCTATGATGACAGCAAAGTTTCATTCTGAAATTTACATATCGTTACAACTTTTTCTTCATGTTCCCATAATCTCTTTTTTTTATTCAGTATTTAATTTTCTGGTAGTAAATTTAAAAAAAAATTGAGCTTTACTGTCAACCCCATGCCAGTTGACTATTTTATTTTTTTAATTTTAACTTTTTATATTAATTAGAGTATATTCATTTTGTATGCCAGCTGTAGCCCCCTTCCTCATTACCTCCCAAACACAACCTCCCACCTTAACCTCCAAGTCCCTCCATGACCCTGTCCAAGCCCGCTGATAAGGGAGGTCCTCTTCCCTTTCCATGTGACCTTAGTCTATCGGGTCTCATCAGGACTGGCTGCATTGTCTTCGTCTGTGGCCTGGTAAGGCTGCTGCCCCCTTAGGGGGAGGTGATCAAAGAGATGGCCACTGAGTTCATGTAAGAGACAGTCCCTGTTCCCCTTACTGGGAACCTACTTGGAGAATGAGCTGCCATGGCTACATTTGTGCATAGGTTATAGGTTATCTCCATGCATGGTCATTGGTTGGAATATAAGTCTCAGAAAAGCCCCCTGGGCCCAGATTTCTTGGTTCTCCTGGTAAAGCTTTTGTCCCCCCCCCCCCCCATATCTTCCTATCTCCACCTTCTTTCATAAGATTCCTCTACTCTGCCTTAAGTTTGGCTATGAGAGTCAGCAT